ACACATCTATGTTTGCTTAACTACCGATGTGGATACGGTATTGCGCATAGAGTTGTGGGATAGAAACCAAGGCTGTCACTCTGGATTCAAAATCCCACCCTTCTCGCGCCCTAGCTCTGAATCTTTGCGTCTGAACAGAAAAGTAATTTGATCCAAAATGTCCACCCTTTTTGATAAATTGAGCGCAAGACTCACCGAGCCAAAGTTACGCATCGAATCACAGCCGAATACCTGCTAATCGCAGTGTAACGCGACGCATTCAATGAGCGATGCCATGCTCAAAATGAGGTGCAGCGCTGAATCCTGCTTGGAGGCATCTGGTTATTGTCGGCACTGTCGGGCGGAAATAAATTGCAGACCAAATGCCAGCGGACTCTGTTCAAATATGTTCTGTATTCCGCAAACTAAAAATATATTCTCACCAGTGTGTAGCAGCTTTTTGAACAAACCAGGCTAGGCTTGCCAGTTTATCAAATGTTTAATTTAAGTAAACTAGCTATTATTCTCCGATAGAGTCATCGAGCTTGGTTAAAACGATTGCACAGGTGCCCATGAGCCACCTATCCTTGCCTGACTGCAATTTGCTTCTCGGCCACTTTAGTGTATAGCCATTTAATTGCTCCATAAGTCGGCTCAGCCGTGCACTCTCTTAGACAAGATCACCAGCAGGGAGCGGCGAGGATGGATGAGTTCCTGGATGCAAGCCGTCACGACTCTCAAATTTACGGCAGCAGTTGTGGGCACCCATGTGGCGCTATTTGATATGCAGGAGCACCGGCCAAGGTTGCCTGGCACGAGATATGTCCTCCCACCTGGTGCAGTCGACGTGGAGAACCTTGAGATGTAAAGTATGCACGGCTGAGGCGCCGATGGTGTTTGCACTTGGGGCCCCTGGCAAACAAACTGAACTGACAGTGGCAGGCTCCGGTGGAGGCAAGTCATGGCTTCACAGGATATGGCATATCTAAACGTGAGCCGGCGCGTTACTGTCGTTAACGTCGTGTTTTCCTCGCTGATTCATAGTTTATGGGCTGCCATTCATTTGCTTCATGCTAGGGACAGCCTGCACCCCTTTTAAATTAGAACGCCAGCAGGGAGCGGTAAAAAATAGAGGATTTCCAGAGGGAGAACCAACCACGACTCGCAATTTACAGCAAGCGCGACACTCGAATTTACTTTCGCATAGTGCACGAGGGTGTTTGAGGCCAAAGATAAGCATAATGCTCGCGCCGTAGCCCTTGCAGGATTGACGTTTTTGTTAACGTCGTGGTTCGAGGATGGTTTTACAAAGGCTATCGTCAATATCGTCAATCGCCCTCATTCGCCAAATCAGGCATGCCAAATAGTCAAAAACATTTAGAAATAGCTCATATTTAGCTATTAGAGATATTTCACCGTCAGTCTTTGGGTGAGAAACTGAAACCAGTTTAATTTGCACGGGAACAGATATCACATGCCCAGCGAAAGGTGATCTGAAAATCATCTGACTTGCATTAGCCGACCGTGGACTGAGCGTCGGCAGAGTGTTGGTGGGGTGGAAAATTGGCTGCACTTAATGTTCTGAAGTTCTGTGCTTTTTATCAATTCTAACACACAATTGTTTTAGCTGGACAAAGAGGACCGTTTGAATGCATGGCATGCCTGATTTGGGGAACATTGACTGATTGGAAGTGAAGTGTGTGAAGCTACCTATATGAGCAAAATTTCTGTTTTCCCCCGCATTGGAGCGTATGGATGTGTTCACGTCGTGCTGATCTTCTGCATATCACATCTTGAGCATTTTTGAAGGGGCCGCTTCTATGGGGCGACCGTAGGCTAGGGGGGGGGGACCTTGGGCCAAGGGTAGTGAGAGTGTATTTTTTGTCGCCGATCGAATTTCTGCAGATACCTCTGTCGCCAGCAGCGTAACGCGATACCATATGACAAGAAATGCAGTGACGTTTATGCCCAGCAGCGTAATCAGAAAACCAACGTATCACCCAAAACCCCTTTTATCACCGCAACTTGCAATATCATGTACGCAACCAAACGTCCCATTTATGCAATGCCATTCAACGCGTGCCAGGATAACTGTTGCTGCACAGAATGCAAGCACACCGGTCCTACACAATGGGATAGTTCAATCACGAATGCAGTCTTCTTCCATACTAGGGACGTGCCGTGGCCTCATGATCAAGCTTGATCTACGAGTGGATTGCTATTCTCGACCGCGAAAAAAAAATCGGCGAAGGACCTCGACAGGCTCTGACAGGCTCTGAAGACATGACAAAATTCCAACCGGTGGCGGGTAGCACTGGGAGATGACGTAAAACATGGGGGCCTCCTCGAGGCTTGTTCTGCTATTGGATACCACGCGCGCCCTTCGGAGCCGCAACCTGAGGGAGGAACGGCTGAGGGCAGGATACGTGTCATTTCTGTATCAGCTCTTACTCTGTTGTTCTTGACAGTACTAAGCCGTTCTCTCCATTTTTCCTTTCCCTGCATCACGCCTTTTCGGTGTAGATGATTACAATTTCCGCGCCCAATGACAACCGGTGTTTCCGGATTCCCCACATCTCTCTGACATATGGGAGTCCGATCATGTGATCACGTCATGATTAACGGGAAACAAGGTCGCAAAACTTGTGTGTGGGCTACACAAGTTATTTTCTTTTGATTGTTGGACGTGGGAATTTTCACGTTGAAAATCTAACAATCACCAGACGCATGTAAAATATGTGTGGTTGTGACGGTTGTTAACGCATCACGAGTGGTGCCGTGGGCACACCCCTAGTGTTTTTGTAGTGTTCATTCATGTTTTCCTTGCGCTACCGCTATGTTGCTGGACTCCACCTACAGTGACCAATCCAGTTTCAGTCTATGTCGTTTGTGGCTTGTCCTGCCCAGTTCAGCTCAGTCTGCGGATTAGGCCAAAAACTCATGGGTTTAACCAATCCATAAACAGTGAGTTGCGAAGTGCATTTGCGAGGAACATTATGCACATAGCCAAGACAGTCGACATAAGACGGACAGGTGAGTAACTGAAAAAATGGTGTGGGATGATCGGCAGGCAATTTGAATTCACTTCTGCTATTCGTTTCGATAACGGCATGTTGCCGAAATATCAATGCAGCTTTATCTCAATTTTCTTAGTTTTTCTCTGAGCAAGATGGCTATCGCTACTGTCTTATCTAAATCGATGTATGGCTACAGTTTTAACACCCACATCACATACACAAAATAAATGAACAACTAAATATCACTCGACTAGGAGTGTGAACCCATGCTCCTGTGGCTACAGATGCATAACATTGATATCTGCTATGACACTCAACATTCACAACCAAAAGGCTGCCCTAAACACAAAACACACAGGAATGTTAAACCAGGCCCTCATATATTCCCGCCACTTCGTATTGCACAGTACAAATCCCACCAAGGCATTACACAAAATTACACAATGAGCTTGTGTAGTGCATATCCATTGCACCACAGTGAGTAGAAAAATCCCCGCGTGGCTGGCTCCGTCTCTACTTGGCCTTGGCCTTGGCGGCCTTGCGCTTCAGCGCGTCTCTGGCCGGCTGAGTCAGCAGCGGAGGACCAGGCAGCACCACGGCGGGCCGCCGCTCGCCCAGCAGCGCCACCTGCCGCAGCGGCACCGCAGTATCAGTACGGACGGCGGCCAACGACGGCAGCGACAGCGGCGAGCGCGGCCAGCCCGCCGCCGGTCCGGGCCTGCTGCACGTGAGGTGGCGAAACGACGAGGGAGGGTAGGGACACACCAAACGTCATAATATGTAGCTCACCGCTCATTTCTATTTGCGCTCTGTGTACTTGTTCAGCGCTTACGGACGGTCGCGCAGCGTTATTAGAATAACACTGCGGGCGAGATATGGCCGCGTTTGCTTTCTGGAAAGCAAGGGTCCAGGGCCATTGCCACCATGCCTCTGAACTTGGGAATGTTTGACGTTGGTGCTGAACGGTTCCATCAGCCGCTGCGTTGTCATCGACCGGTATCCACTGGACTGGAACGAATCGCACCTCACCGGGCCGCGCGCCCTTTCATTGACCTGCACCTCGGTGCTGGCGACTGCCAGGTACGGCGGCACGTACGCCTTGGCCAGGGTCTGGCCGGTGTTGTGGCTGTAGCAGCCGGAGGTCGTGTTGCCGACCACCTGCCGGCAGCGAGGGGGGGGGGTGGCACCGTCAGCAGTAGCGGTCCCCGCAAGAGATGTCTCCCAGAGCAGGCCGTTCAGTGTTTGTTTTGGTCCGAAATGCATAATGCGTGCCACAGCCTCAACGTTGAATAGCTCGATCCAGAGGATCCTGAGGCTAACACGACCTTCCCCATCTTCAGGATTTACAGCCGTGGCAGCCACACATCTATCCCATATCCCGGTCTGAAGCCTGTTGGAGTATCTGGTCACAGTCAGCTGCGAGCCTGCCGTTGTTAGAGCAGCGATGTGGGCAGCCGAGGTCTGCAGTGGGCATAGTGGTCACTGTGTGGCTGTGATGAATCATAACTTGACCACCGCTGGCCAAAAGTATTGGAATCAAAAACAGCCGACTTACTGATCTAGCTGATGGTGCGACATTTGATCAATACCAATGTGTTGAATCGTCGGCTGATCATCGAGATGTGTGGTGGTTGATCATAGAAGACGGCATGCCAACAGACATACCGCCCTACTGCAGACAGACATACCCCGCTGTCCGCATTACCAATAAAGTGGCCGAGTCAAATGACTTCATTCGGGTCCCAGTCAGAATGCTGGTGTATTCTCCGAACCTGATTTTGGTTGGCATTCACTTTTGATATTAGAGTCTAAGTCTAAGTCAAAGTACGAATCAGGGTATAAGTGTCCTAAATCTGAGTCTCATCTCCCGGTCCGAGTATTCTGTCTTTTAAACTGTTCATTTCGAACCAAGCCCGAATCCACAATTTTAGACTAATTAGGGAGTGCTAGTTCGACTGACTCGCATCAGATCCCCTTGACAATCAGAACAGCTCACTCGCGTTCGGGCATGAAAAGCTCTCGAGAGCGGACTCAGGTCGAGTCTGGACTGAGTCAATACGCATACATAACTACACTCAAGCATACGCGACACCATACAGCAGACTACACCGAAAGGCTAGTCTAAAACGACTGTTACATAACCAACCTGAGGTCATGGAACTCGCTGCCCGTGCCGGTGATGATGAGGAACCTCTCATCGGGGAGAGAGGTCAGGGTCAGCTCGGCCATGACCTTGCCGCCGGGGGTCAAGTAGTGCGTGACGCAGGTCCTCCAGGTGGCGGGTATCGTGTTCGCCGTGGCGTACTCCAGAAGTGCACGGGCGTCCGAACCTAGGTAGCGGAAGAGGGTGTTGCTGTTCAGACGGCTGTGACACCTGCAAATTCTTGTCAGTTGCGCCGAAGTACAGTCAGGTTGATCTGGGAAGTTCTGCAGATCTGCTATTGCAATCGTTGTGTAATTTGCTCGTTATTTGCGTCGCTACATGTACAAAGTAAGCAAGCTTTCTGTTTCCGTCTTGATCGTTTCCTAATCCTCACGCGTCGCCAAGTCCGGCCCAAACCCTGAAACGTAAAGTCTGTCCCACCCGAGAGGTAGAACTTGGCGAAGGGCGTGATGTCGATGACGCCGACCCGCTCCATGACGGTGCGGCACTCGTCGCCGACCCGCTCGTGCCAGTTGGTGCGCTGGAAGCTGGGCCTGTACTCGGGCTCGGTGCCGGGCTCGGCAAACCACGCCGGCTGCTCCCACCCGGTGTGCTGCTCCATGGAGGCGCCGCGCGCCACCAGCTGCGCGTGAGCCCCGCTGACCCGGCTGGTGGGCCGACTTGTGATGAGGGGTCACGGTCACCGCCGGCCCGCGCCGCCCGCTGGGCATAGGTCGGTGGCGGGGAGGACGCAGAGTGGTGCAAGTCCGCGGGGGGATGTTAGTCTGCAGGCTAAAGTGGTAGCCGAGGTCATTACGTTACCATGGGAAATATGGGATGGGTCATGTAGCAGTTTGTGACCCGCGGGTGCCTGGTTTAATGAGCAACGCTCATCGACAGATGTCAGTAGGTTTTGTTTTCAACGTAAATGAATGGCTGGTCGCAGGAAATCCAATCATAGTTCAACGCGAGATGTCATACTTTATTCCGTCTTCCGTCTGTCACTCAACCCGCGACGCTATTGCCATCCGGAGCCCAAATCTAGACCAGAATGTCCCGGTCTGGACCATCTAGTCCCGCCCGGTTGGACAACAGGCTGTGCGGGCTATGAACACCCCGACAACACACAGACGTTACAACGAACATCCGAGCTGTTCTGATTGCGGCAAGGGCAGAGCCGAAAGGCAGCCGGTTCAGCGGGGGGGGGGGGGGGGGGGCGGGAGGCCCCACGCGCCAGTGTCCCGGATCACGCACCTGCCCAGCGCTCCTCACGCGGCAGGCCCAGCGCTGTGTTCATGCCGTAGCTCTCGCGACACTTGGCCAGGCTGTAGCTGTCGGTGGTCCAGGGCCCGTAGCGGCATGGGTGGGAGGCGGTGTTAGGGGCCACGAACACGATACCGTAGCTGGTGATGGGCTCGGAGGGATGAACAGTGTTACGAGCTGTGGAACACGATACCGTAGCTGGGGAGGGGCTCGGAGGGATGAGCAGTGTTATGAGCCGCGGCACACCATGCCGTGCTTGGTGGGAGTTGGAGGTATGAGCAGTGTTCGAGCCGCGGAACACCATGCCGTACCTGGTGAGGGGCTCGGAGGGATGAACAGTGTTATGAGCTCTAGAACACAATATCGTACCTGGTGGGGGCTTGGAGGAGTGAGAAATTTTCGAGCCGCGGAATACAATATCGCACCTGGTGAGGGGTTCGAAGGGAAGAGCAGTGGGTGCGAGCCGCGGAGCACGATACCGTATCTGGCGAGGGTAGGGGGGGGGGGGGCGGAGGGGTAAGCACTGGTTACGAACCTTCAACATGGCCGGGAAGGCGAGGGTGTGATATTGCATCTGTAAAAAGCCTTCAGTGGAGCAAGCGGTCCAGTTAAGCATTTCATTCGGTAGACGCACAATCCAGTCAGACAACACTCCCAGTCCAAATACAGGCCCAGCATCTTTGGCAGCATGCCCGCTTACACTGGAGCAATGCAATTTGTTTGGGGGCAGGTAACATACAACAAACGTAATAGGTACGCAGCGGTTGTGTGACGGTGACGAGCAGGACTGCTCCGCGTGTAGCGGCGTCTCTAGGGAGGCCAGCGCAGTCGTCCGATGGAATCGCCAGCTAACTGTCCAGCCGAGTCTACTTTACCAACCGTCTGCAATTGTGGCATCTGCTAGTCACCGTCTGCGGAGCCAGCTGTTCAAGGATGTTTGACCGCAGCCTGCCACCAAAGCCAGGACATACTTCCCACGTGGTGTCAGTGTTAGACTGTCCAGCATTTGTCCAATCTCAAGGCATTGCACCTCTTGTTCAAAAATAGCCTCTTTGTCTTCACGAAATACCCGAGCAGCTTCCCTCCTCATGCGCCCATTTCTCACCTGAAGCCGACGGCGGCCCACATGTTGGGCAGCAGTGTGGGGCCCACCATGGGCAGCACGTCCGGCGAGTAGGTGATGGGCCCGTTCACCACGCTCTGGATGCTCGCCCCAGCAAAACAGAGCAGCAGCTCCATGGCCATTTCTAGGTTGGGCTCAATACGGTCCAGATCCGGCGGGAACAGTTCGCGACCGAACCCTAGCGGCAATAACAGAAACTATTATTGCCACAACGGACGGCAGGTGTCGACAAAGTCATGACCCTGTGAGCATGTGACATTACCGGCATGCAAGATCGCCACGCCCTGTTTAGTTCCGCAGACCCATGTAATGTGGGTGCTGATGATGATGATTGGGGTTTTAGGGCGCGTCGACTTCTAAGGTCATTTTGCGCCCATGACAGCTAAGTGTTTATCGAGATGTATAAATGGCTGTGAATCCGACGCTTCTCAAACGTGAAAACAGCTGTCCGGTGCCAAGCATGCGAGAATCGTCACCAATAAGGTCTGAAAAGGTAAGACCTGACGCATCTCGTCCGAAGTAAAGTGCCCGCTCTTCTCTGAACTGCGGGCAGAAGTGAATGACGTGGCGAACCGTGAGTGGCGCATCACAACGAGGACATATAGGGCGTTCTCCGCCGCACAAAAGGTAGCTATGTGTTGCGTGCGCATGGCCAATTCGTAATCTGCTGAGGGTTAATTCTTCACGTCTCAACTTACGTGAGCTTGACGGCCATGGATCCAGTTGCGGCTTGGACGCCTTTAACTTATTGTTTACAACGGCATCCCAGCAGCGTTGACATTTCCCCTTCACAAAGGTCGCGATGGCAGTGTAAAAGTCCCTTGCCGGCAACGGTAAAGAACGGGTACAAAGTGCACACGCTGCCCCTTTTGTGGCCGATTCAGCACGCTCATTACCTGCGATACCCACTTGATTCGGTATCCAATATGACGAACCACTGAGATCCAGCGCTGTCAGGCGAACTAAAATATCCTGTATAATGGGACAAGGTGGGTTAAAGGCTGTCAGGGCCGACAGGCTACTCAAAGAATCGGATAAGATCACGTGTGAGTTGCTCTCACCAACTTCGATGAAGCGTAGGGCTTTACTTATTGCAAAGAGCTCGGACGTTTAAACGGAGGCGTGTTTCGGTAAAGAAAAGGACTGGGTGGCTTGGTCTTTTACAAATGCAGCACCAACGCCCACCCCCGTTTTGGACCCATCAGTGTATGTGGCTTGAAAACCTATGTACGACCCGATGTGCTCCAGGGCCTTCGATCTCAAGTCGCATAGGATCGCTCTCTGTTTGCTGGTGCATGAAAGGGATACATCCACTTTTGGTGAGATTAGCTCCCATGGAGGCACTAATACGGGACGCGACCTTAGCACACAACGCAGACTTATGTCACTTTCCCGGAACAGCTTCTTCATATGGACACCAAATAGAACAGCGGACGGCCTTCCGCTTCTTTAGAACTTGCTTTCCACATCACGTGAAAAGATTGCTCGGTGAGTCGGATGGTTCGGAAATTGAGCCAGCTTGCAAAAGCACCGCATGCCAAGCAATTCCCTTCTCAGTGCCAACGCCGGTTCATTAACTTCCATGGTAAAGCTAGCAACTGGCGACGTCCTGAATGCCCCCGTCACAATGCGTAATGCGGTATGGTGCACGGTGTCTATTAAACGTTTGGAGGAACTCGGCGCGCGGTCATGAATAAAACAGCCATAGTCAAATTTCGACCGTATAAGTGAGCGGTGTAGCAGTAACAGTGTTCTTCTGTCCACTCCATAACTTGTTCGAGACACATACTTCAATGTGCTCAATGCTTTAAAGCAGTTGTCACGTAACGGTTTTCAGATGTGACGCATACGCTAAACGGTTATCAAACTGCAGACCCAAGAAGCCGGTACTGGATTCGTTCGGGTTGGTCTGACCGTATAGCCTTAAAGCCATGGCGGGGCATTGACGAAGTCGTCTGCAAAAATGCATAGCGACTGTTTTCGAGGTTGAGAAACGTAGTCCGTTTACAACACTCCATCTCTCCAGGCTGATCACAGCCAACTGCAAGCGACGCTCCAAAGAAGCAAAGTTTGACGAGGCATACCAGATGGCGACATCATCCACGAAGAGAGAGCGACTGACCGACTTTGGAAGGGAGTCGCCAATATCGTTATCATCACAGCGAACAAAACGACGCTCAGAACTCTGCCTTAGGGCACGCCGTTATCTTGTTGGTACCTATCCGAAAAGTGTGAGCCAACGCGAACTCTGAAAAAACGATCGGTCATAAAGTTCGCTAAGAACGTGCCCCTGGCTCCTCGAGTGCCATGATGAAAGAGCTTTTTCAGGATGCCGTAACGCCACGTTGTATCGTAGGCTTTTTCAACATAAAAAATATAACGCCAACATGTCGTTTTTCCATAAAAGTGGTGCGGGTGTTTGTGTCGAGAGCTATAAGATGGTCAATGGTAGTGCGATTTTTCCTGAATCCACATTAATCAGCCATAAAAACATTGTATCGCTCCAAAAACCACGACAAGCGTACATTTACCATACGTTCCAACAACTCACAAATGCATGATGTCAGTGAAGTAGGGCGGTAGTCGGCAGGGTCAGCCCCACTCTTACCATGCTTGAGCATAGGGACAATGTGTGACTCAAGCCAAGACTCCGGAAAACCTTCATTCGCCCAGAGTTTGCTGTACGTTGCTAAGAGGGCCTCAACTACTGAAGTGGGAAGTTGCTTAAGCATGACGTTGTGAACTAGATCCGGACCCTCTGCCACGTTGCGCAGCGATCCTATCGCGGAAATTAGTTCGGCCATTATAAAAGGTCGGTTGTATGACATCTGTTCTGTCATGCTGAAGTCGACAGGGGATGCCTCGCAGCGGATCCGGTGACCCATAAACTGTGGGAGGGCATTGCCGTCACCACATCACTCGGAGAATACGCGGGCTATTTCATTTGCTACGTCAGCTGGGTGAATAATGTCACGTCCAGTGATACGGAGCACAGGGCGTGGTGCAGACGAGTGCTGTCCCGCAATGCGTTTGATCCGTGACCATACGTTGGATGCAGGTGTTTGGCAGTTTAGTTGGCCGACGTACGATCGCCACGATGCCCGCTTAGCATCTAGAATGGTGCGTCTAGCAGCTGTTCGTGCTCGTCGAAGTGCAATTAGATAGTCAGTTGTGGTCCGACGGTCAAACTTTCTAACGGCCCTGTAACGCGCACAGATGGCGTCCCGGCACTGCTGCGTCCACCATGGGACAGGAGGACGACGAGGGCAGCCCGACGTTCGCGGCAAGCACCCTTCTGCAGATCGCAAAATCAACGAGGTCAAATCCTCTGTTGAAGGGGGTTCACTCGCTGGTTGCATAGTAAGGGAATGCTCGATCCTCGCTCGAAACTCGATCCAGTCGGCTTTTCTAAAATTACAGCGCTGTGGTCGAGAACCAAGGAAAACGTCAGCCCGGTACTTGATCCAAATGGGGAAGTGGTCACTTCCCACTGGATCGTCTGACACCGACCAGTCAAAATGGTTGATCAGTTGTGGGCTCAAAAGACTTAAGCCGATTGCTGAAGCCTGTCCTGATGGGAGTGTAAAATGGGTACGCGTGCCCGTGTTTAAGAGGCACAGCGATTCTTCATGTATGAGGGCTTCGCAGCGTTTCCCGCGAGTGTTTGTCTTGGCACAACCCCACGCTGAGTGGTGAGCGTTAAAAATCACCCAATATGAGGACAGGCGGGCGGAAGCTGAGCCACTGGTGAGGGGTGTCTGTGATGAGGAGACCGGTGGTTTCTCAGACGAAGGAATACCGGACGGCGCGCGAAGGCTGCAGCCACGTCGAACCGTTGTCCAGCCGTCATTTGTTGGCGATCCAACTGGTGTCGAGGAGGCCGGCAGCACGGCGACCACCTACTGCTCGGTTGGTGGGAAGGGCGCTTAGAGTGCTGGCTGCGAGTCCAGGGCGCGTGTTGAGGGTACAACTGATAGGCCAAATGACCCTAGAAGTTCCAGAAATTGAACAGCCGTCATTTACTCGATCGCATTAGTGTCCGGCAACGAAGCTTTCACTTTCGATGCGTACGATATTTTTGGATGGGTTTCGTTATAAAATTCTCGAGCCTCAAGGAAGGATACGTTTTTAGAAGTGATTGATATGATTTCCTTCTCCTTGGCGTAGGCTGGACATGCACGGTCGTGCGACATGTGCGGAACCTGGTCCTTGCCGCAGTTGACACGGTGGGGTTTGTCAGAAGTACAGTCTTCGCTCATGTGCTCGAGGGGCGCACATTTTCCACACGCTGCGTGGTTCCGACAGTTGGGTTTCGTGTGACCAAATCGCTGGCACTGATAGCACCGCATGGGGTTAGGTAAAAAACTGACGTACTTTCATGCGGACGTATCCCACCCGTATCTCGGACGGTAAGTCAGGGCGACAGAACGTGAGTATGAGGTTGCTGGTGGGCACCAACTCTCCTCACCTTCTAACGAGGATCCGTCGAGCGGCGGTCACTTCAAAATCCGAGAGCTCCTCCACGATCTCTTCCTCCTCAACGTCACGCAGATCAATACAGTTCACCACGCCCCTGGACGAATTTTTGGTGTTGTGTGGTGTCGCTGACATTGACACTGTGTTTCCCACGTTTACCAGCCCCATCTCGAACACTGTACGTAAATTCAGTTGCTTCCACAGCCCGACTTGCCTCCAAATCACCAGCAAATTCAACTTTTATTTTTCCATCCAGGAGCTTCTCACGTCTGATAATTTTTTTCAAATTTGTCACGCTATTTTTTCTCTGAAACGGTGACAGGGACGCCACCCTAATTTCATGACTTTCGAAGACGAGGATCCGTGGTCCGGAGATAGCAGAGTCTTTTCCGCACCCTTGGGTTATCGTGGTCTGACCCCCTTTCGGAGGACGGGTGTTTTTAGAGGTAGAGGACGCCATGCAAAAAGTGGTTTTCTTTCGGCACCGGGGCTCCCCACCCACCACGGAGCCCAACTGGGGGACAACCCAACACTTCCTCGGGAGGTGGTCACCGCCAGGGCTACTCCGGCGCTATACGGGGCGAGCGACGCCTCCGACACGGCCAGGTGTAACCGGGGAGATCCTTTCCCGTCCTGACCGTGGTTCAGCGCCGCCGCCCCTTGACCCCTTAAGCCGCAGCGCGCGGCCAGGCGCCCCGAGCGGAAACCCGCAAGGAGCACCCAACCGCACGCGAGCGACAAGCCGCTAGACCCGTGCGGGGCCCCACAGGCCCCCCGCGCTCCCGGATATCCTGGCCGAAGTGGAGTGTTGGGACGCGCCGCGGCTGACCCGCACGACGCGCCTCTCAGCCACCAGGATCCGATCAACCCGGGGACGCGGGCGAGGGGGCACGGCGACCCCGATACAACGAGGATGAGGAGTGGTGATAGGGTCGGATGCGGGAGTGCGGGTAATGTGAAGGGAGCAGGCGGGACAAGAAGCAGGAGCTCATGTACCGGCAGTGTCGCTACGCCCTGAGAGGAACAGCTTGCGCTGTCCACCCGTTACCGGAGCTGGGACCCGAAGGGGCGCTAGTCCCCAACACCGGCCGAAGCCGGTGCCCCTGCGAGGTTGATATGTAGGTGGAGACCAAGGCATCAACAATTGTGACAGGCCAAGTGAATGTGACATCAGCGACGAGTGAACACTTTGCTTTCATCGGCTTCAGCCTGTTTATCCTCAAGCGCTCGGCAAGCTGTCTTCACGCGCGTCGTTTCGCACCGCGCCCCTCCGATCAGGAGGCGCCCCTGTCCCGGCGCGTACCTGGCCGGACGCCCCTCAGGACCCAGTCCTCGGAGAGACTCATGCGGTCCGGATGCTCATAGGGCCCGATCAGAAGGCCGTCCCGCTCCTGACGGACGTGGTAGGAGCTTTCCAGGTGGCGCAGCACCGGAAACTCACGCTTCAGCGCCTTGACCTGGCGACCAAACAGCGCGGGTCAAGACCACGGCGGATAGCCGGCATTGAGGAAATTAAGATGAAGAGGGGAAGAGAGAGAGAGAGAGAGAGAGAGAGAGAGAGAGAGAGAGAGAGAGAGGAGAGAGAGAGAGAGAGAGAGAGAGAGAGAGAGAGAGAGAGAGAGAGAGAGAGAGATAGATAGATAGATAGATAGATGGATATATATATATATATAATGTATTGTATATTTGTATTATATCTACTAATGTATATATATGTGTATATATATATATATATATATATATATATATATATATATATTATATCATACATAGGGTGGACCTTGCTTGATGGCGCTGATTACCAAAAAAGTTCCTTTCCTTACGTCAAAACCAGAGGTCAGCACATCTATCGAATTCAGCGTAAATATGCAGATGAAACGCTGGCCGAAGATGTGAGGCACTGACACAGCACGCATGGCAGTTTTCGCCTGTAAATTTTAGTGAAATATCGCGCTCGCTGCAGACACCCATCAAGCAAATTCACAAAGTTTGTTCCGATATGGTTGGGGGCTCTCCCGCCATCGACGCCCACGTCTCAAGCCGTCACACCAGTACGCAATATCCGCGGAACTCTGACGCAGTCCGTCCCGCGTGTTTCCAAGAAGAGCGGCTGCGTCTTCCGGTGGGAAGATAAGGGCGCGGCTTGGTAGGCCTAAGGTCGTGCTGAGGCAGGTCTCCGTTCTACACAACGCTTTTCAGCTCAGTATTGGGAGTAGGCGCTGCGGACGCCGGCACTTGGCTCCCTTCGGCGGTGCGCCAGCCACGTCACGAGCGCCGACCCGACCGGGGTTGCTCGGCGATCGTGGTGAACGGGCATTCTGACTTGCCTGGCTTTCACTAAAACGCTATTGTTAATTGCTGTACTGACACTAACGCTAGTCTATCTCTCTATTTTCCTGTTTGTTCTACCAGGGATGAGACTATCAGTCCCGTGTTATTTAAATGCATGATGCTCCTTGCAGATGTTCTTAAGAACTTGAGTAAAACGCTATTGACCTAATTGGCTGGTAACTGTCGCATTTTACGTCACATTGTCTTGTTGATAGAAACACCAAAAGCTTCCTAGCCCCGACGCTACTTTTTTAAGCACGTGAGCAGGTTCAATTTCACCCTTCCCCGCAGCCGTGCTAAACTTTGCTGCATACTGTATGTCACTGAGTATCTATCCCACGCCTGACTACGTCGTGACTTGGTCATACAGTACGATTGCTGCACGGAACTGCTGAACTGCCAGCTCGTCCTACCACAACTAACGTATTGTGCACACCAGATAGTGGGGTAGATAGTTACAACAAATAACTCGGGAATGCGTCTTACAGCTTGGCGGTGCATTCCTTGGTGGAGCGCGAGTTGCTAACAACTCGCACTCGAAAATAATATTTCATCCTGAGTATAATGAGAAAAGGACAAAGTATGGCGTAACTGAACGCACTGGCAATTGCTACTCAAACATGTATGTTGTCAAAAACAATTGGAAAAACTAAAACACAAGTTGTTCAGTGCATTAGCGAGTAACATTATTCACATAGATAAGACAGTATTATCAGCCTTATTCCTCGGAGAAAAACCAGGAGAATGGATATATAGTTGGGGTGATATTGCGGCAACATGCCTTTATCGAAACAATAGCGGAGGCTTGCTATTGTGCCACTACAAGTGCAACCGATGTCACTACAAGCCCAGCCGACGGGGCCCATTCGCTGATTGGAGCCTTTCTATTGTGTCACTACAAGTGCAGCCGATGACACTACAAGCCCAGCCGACGGGGCCCATTCGCTGATTGGAGCCTTTCTCGGACCCCTGTTTCGTCTCCGCCAAGGCTATCACACTTGAAACCCAAACGAAAGGTACCATGAACGACCTGTTTTAGTTCGGGAACTAGAAGTTTTAAAAACCTTAGGGGAGTGGACCATATCGTCATGGACATGGACCATATCGCCTAATTTCATCATTTCAATTTGGTTTAAAGCACGCAGCAAAAATATGAATCTGCAGCATTGTAATTCCGAAAACTGACGATACCTGACCGGTCCACCATTTTACGCTTCGTTTTTTGGATGCACGCTGTAAGCCATAATCATTTCGATGATATACAACTAAAACCCTGGCATGACAAGCGGCGGATCCAGCCAATAATCTCTGAAATTGAGTCAGGGGGCTGGTGTTTGTGATGTGGTGGTGGTAAGCGCTCCCCGCCACACCTGACACCTGACGCTCCCTGGCTGAGGGACGCCTGACACATGATAGCCTCCAACTAAGTGACACCTACACACAAACATCCTCCGCTGATGTACACCTGACACCGGACACCTGTCACCCTCCTGGCTCAGCGGCATCTGACACCTGGACACTCTCCGGTGCGGTACACCTGACACCTGACATCCTCCGGCTGAGGTACACCTGACACCTGACATCCTCCGGCTGAGGTACACCTGACCATCTTCTGCACAAGACCAACATATGGTGCTAGTTGCACTGACGTCAAGCGGAACAGTGAAACTTAAAGCGTATTTCAGCGCCATGGGAAGACGATTGGGAAGGCCGACACGCCCCGTTGCTTCACCCCCTTGGTCCGCCCTTGATCATTATGAAAACGTCATCACCCAGTACTCAGCGACACCCGAGCCCTACACGCCGGCACGCACGTGTCGGTAAGCTCGCCAGCTGGGCCCAGAGGGGTGCGCAGGTGGAAGGGGACGGGAACATTGCGGCGCGGAGGGGAGGGGGATTTCGCATTGGCTGGTCGGGAGGGAGAAATGGTGGTGTGGCATCATTCACACCGTTGACTTCTACCGGCTTGGAATTTGAAGAAAAACGCGTGAACGATTTCCTTTGCTTTGAACGACGAGCTTGGATAAATTTGTGGGTGGGCAGATATAAGGTACAGATACACTTATTCACTCGGAGACATTTAGAAGAAGTCAGAGGGCGGGGTGTATTGCCCCACCCGTTTCCAGTGCACGTGCTAATGCTTATGCAGCTGGTACCAGTTATAATCGGAAACATCCCGAGGGTCCATGTTTACCTTCCGCCAAAATATTAGTCCAATGTCTGGGCGACATACGGCCACTGCCACTCGACAGGGTTATAATGCGGCTCCTGGTGAAAAGGACGGTTTCAGGCACGTAGCCGGCGAGAGGGGGACAGACCATGGTACCATTGTTCCTGAAGCATATCTACATATATACACACACACACACACACATATATATATATATTGTATATATAGATATATATATATATATATATATATATATATATATATATGTGTGTGTGTGTGTGTGTGTGTGTGGTGTGTGTATGTGTGTGTGTGTGTGTGTGTGTGTGCTTATATGTGTATACCTACATATATAGATAGATATAGATATAGATATAGATATATATATATATATATATATATATATATATATATATATATATATATATATATATATATATTATATATAGATGGATAGATAGATAGATAGATAGATAGATAGATAGATATATAGATAGATAGATAGATAGATTACAATTTCGTGCCTTCGGTGCGTCCAAAATCAACAAACGAACCGCTGAGCTTCTGTATGTAACGGGTATTGAAACGGCTTAGAATCGGCGATAGCAGGTTTGTGTCGTGTTGGTAAACCACATGTCAGTTCGTTGGTCAAACAGTGAGAAATCACTAGGCCTTAGCCCAAAATTTCTGGTATCTTCCGTTCATCAAAGCATGTCACAGGTCTCCTAAAGTTGGGCTGCAGCCCCAAATGATTGGTTTTCTGTCGCTTCCTTTTTTTGTTTCTTTGGTTCTGCTCAGCGTGACAAGCATATGAAACAACCGGTATTTGTTGTCTCCAAACAGCTCTGTAATCCCATCTTTCCATGACCCCGGTACAATCCTTCCAGCATGCCTGTACTACCCCCTGCATAGCATTTGCGCACTCGCCGTCATCTTAATTTGAGCCCAACCACGAAACACAGATATTGCTCGTCCCTTTCCAGGCAGCCTAGAAGCCCTGTTTAAACATGTAGATACAAACTGCTGTGACGCATCAAAAGGTGCCCATCAGGCAACACTGTCGCGCCGGGCTTGGAGCGTGCCTGAGGTATGGTGGAGACATGATGATGGCTGGGCTGCGGCTCGGAGGGCGCGCGTGGTTTCCATAACGGGGCAAGCCTCGAGGAGGCACGCATGTTTTCCGTCATCTCCCAGTGCTACCAGCCACCGGTTGGAATTTTGTCATGTCCTCAGAGCCGCCCTGCCTGTCGAGGTCCTTCGCCGATTTTTTTTCGCGGTCGAGAAAAGCAAATCCACACGTAGATCAAGCTTGGTCGTGAGGCCACGGCACCTCCCTAGTATGGCAGAAGACTGTATTCGTGATTGAACTATCCCATTGTGTAGGACCGGTGTGCTTGCATTCTGTGCAGCGACAGTCATCCTGGCACCAGTTGAGTGGCATTGCATAAATGGACGTTTTGGTTGCGTGCATGATATTGCAAGTTGCAGTGATAAAATAAGTTTTTGGTGATACGCTGGTTTCTGATTACGCTGCTGGGCATAAACGTCACTGCCATTTCTTGTCATATGGTATCGCGTTGCGCTGCTGGCGACAGGCGTATCCGCAGAAATTCGGTCGGCGACAAAAATACACCCTCACTACCCCTGGCCCACGGTCCCCCCCCCCCTAGCCTACGGTCGCCCCTATAGAAGCGGCCCCTTCAAAAATGCTCAAGATGTGATATGCAGGGGCTCAGCACGACGTGAACACATCCATCCGCTCCAATGCGCGGGGAATAGAGAAGTTTCGCTCATATAGGTAGCTTTACACATTTCACTTCCAATCAGTCAATGTTCCCCAAATCAGGCATGTCACGCATTCAAAACGGTCCTCTTTGACCAGTTAAAACAATTGTGCGCTAGAATTGATGAAAAGCACAGAACTTCAGAGACATTAAAGTACAGCCAACTGTTCACCCC